CTTAAGTACCAAAAATCAATCCCAGAAGTTCGCACAAACTCTAAGCAATTTATTTAGTATAACTGAAACTAGAAAGTTGATATCTGCCATAGCGGCGCTAACATTTTATTAAAATTCAGTTTGTTCGCATGTGTTACGATTCATATGAATTTTGAAAAGTAGTAAAAAGCTAGTGTCATCCTTATTAGGGGTATATTTTAATTCGACAACACTATTGGTACAAAATCAAAGCGGCGAGAAAGGGACTAGAGAAAGGATCTAATCGAAAAAGCTATTGACCTCGGAACTACCCTAGGATAGTCAAGATGACCCAGTACAATAGAAATAAATCGATGTAATGATCGCGAGAGCCCCAGAAGTGTTAACGATCCAGCAATTGTGGAATCACCAAACGCATCGATGCAAAGATATCGAAGACAAAGTTCTCTATTTGATCGAGTACAACGGTATTTATTCGTGTAACGGACTTATAAAACGAGTCAGTCTATTTTCATGTTAGATATTGTAAACAGTATTGTCCAGGTTGTGATAAGCCATTTGGTCATCGATCCAGTTGCGCACGTAAGCAACATTAGCATAGACCCCGGGTGTAGCATTCTCGCCGCAGCCGATACCCCATGCGACGATGCCAGCCTGCTGGTATCTGGTAGGATCTTTCTTACTCGGACACACGAGAGGACTGCCGCCGTCACCCTGAAAAAACAATCACAGGCTCTGTGAATGCTGGTCTGTCATGCCTAATGCATCAAAAATTGTCTACCCCATGGCTATAGACGAGATTGCGCCGAGAATCTCAAATGATTCCAAGAATCTACACGCACCCTGAACGCAGAGTCGCGGTATAAAAAGTCTGCGTACATCTTTCAACGTTCTGAACCGAACGGCGTGAAAAATAATTCAAGTCATTTAGTGTCCGGTTTCGAAAAAGTTTATCCTATCGTTTCAAAAGGTGTACAAATACTTTTCACCCGGAACTGTATCAACGTGCAAGTTAATTCTCAAACCTGAGAAAATAATTGCACCACCTGGTAGACTAAACATTAAGACACGAATCATCGAGGACGTTATATTACCTTGCAAGTATCCCTGCCAGGCTCGCCACCGGCACAAATAAAGGTCTCGTGGAGTTTGAAGTATTTTCCTAATCTCGTCTCTCGAAGACTCTCCTGGCACGTATTTCGTGGCACCACCGGCAATTCGACTTTCTTCAGGATTACTTGGTAGTGACCCTCCCTACCTGTAACAACCGTTGTCGTCGGATACAATAAGCACCCAGGGCAGGACTTTGACTCGGACCGTGCTGATTAGGTTCGATTACAACGGATCGTTGAGCAGGGAGGAGGACCAGACACGCATAAAAGAATAAATCGGATTTATTAAACGACGCGCTCACCGAATTTATCCTTGCCCCAACCGCTGGCAAAGCAACGAGATGCGTCGAAAACGGTATTCGGCTCTGGGAGGCACACCACGTCGATGTTCTCCGCTAGATCGACCGGCTCGGTCAGGATCAAGATCGCGAAATCATAGTAGAGGGCTCCGGGATAGTACTTGTCGTGCACGATCACCTTCTGCACGGTGCGATCCTGGTGTGCGAAGATCTCGTTCCTCGTCTGCGTGTCCCATTCGCCCGCACGGATCTTCAGGGTGGCTGCGTCTTTCCTATCGATTATGTCTTCGCGTTATCGTCGTCTGACCAGGAAGTCGTGTCTACATATGAAACTTTTTCAGCGTAATCTAAATGTGAACGAGAACTCACCCGTGGACGCAATGAGCAGCCGTTAAAACAGCCTGCTTGTGGATCAGAGATCCGCCGCACTGATAGACGATCAAGTTCTGCTTGGACTCGCCGATGATCTCGTCCTTCATGATAGCCACCATCCACGGGAATTCGCCGAACTTGGTCTCGTTGTTCCTGTCACCGGTGATCCTGAAGCCTACGCCTTCGGGGTTTCGCTGGCCGCAACCGTGTCTTTCGATGCGCGGCGGAATGATCTCGTGACCGGGCGTCAGCTTGTCCGGAGGCTTGCAGCAGACGTCCAGGTAGTCGACGCAAGGTCCGGAAGCCCTGTACCGTTAACAAAATTGGCAAGAATTACCGATTGAGGCTCGACGAATCGAAGAACGGATACCTGGTGTTCCCCTGGAGTTATATGGACAATTGTGCAGCATCTCCGCTACAGGTAACCATGGCATGCGGAAGTTTGCACAACAAACCGAACCGAATTCACCGGGTCTGTTACTTTGCTCGTCAAGGCATTGTTCGATCCACTTTGCATACGTTCGACTCGAAGTTTCTATTGCACGCCGATCGTCTAAACATTTTCATTCTGCAATTAATTCGGCAATTAATTCGCCTACTCTATTCATCTGTTCTATTAATTCGGAACGACTTGTCGCGACTTAGCAGCTGGTATAAACGGAACAAATTGTCTTCTTTAACCCAAGCAATTGTGTAATTACCAGGAGCACTCGTAGCTCCAGCTTAGCTATTTTTAACTGTTCTCTTAGCGTTCTTTCTCTCTAACTGTTCCGCTCTCGAGCCACTCGATTCATGACCTTGCTGTTCTCTTTTCCCATGACTCTATCTTTCACGATCCCTTATAAGAATGTTATTTCCGTCTGTCTCTCATGGTCGCTGCACTAATTACTGTTTATCTAACGGGTTTCTTTTTCCCGTACATAGGTAAACAAATAATTAAGTAAAAATGGAACGAAGACGACCGTTTCGCTGAATCGGCTCGGTTTCTGTGGCGTTACGATTACGAGTATATGTAAAGGGACCTGTGTATTCAAAGTCAGCCTCACGAGTCGTGCACAATCATCGCGCAGAGTGCACGACACCTGGAACTTTGTGTGTACGTGTTGTTAGACTAATCGCTACGCATGCACGATTAATGTCCAAAAAAGAATTCTACGAGAAGCGTCGATTCTGTGCGGAAAGATATCTGGACACCGAGATTTCGTCTCACGAATTTCCAATTGAACATGCTCGACACTGCCAAGCCTCTGTTCATTCTGTAGGGTGGTCTTTGGAGGACTCACATCTGCTCAGAGTTTACATCGAAATCGGACCTGATATCGATCAGCCCGAATCCATCCTCCACTACCGTCCCGTTCCGGCACAGATAGTAGGATACGCACTCGCAGTCATCGGGGGGTGGTTTAGGTTTGTTTTGCGTGCCGACGAAAGTCGAGGGTGCGCTGGTCGACTGTTGATTTTGGTACTGGTTGATCAACGCTTCCAGGTTACCGAAATCCGCGCTGCCGGTGGTGTCCTTGTTGCCAGGGCTTGGCTGCTGAGGATTCGGGTTCGGAATCGGGTTTGGATTTGGGTTCGGGTTCGGGCTCGGCTTCGGGTTCTGATCGAACACGCTCGATATCAGATCGTCCAAGGGCGCGCCTCCTTGTTGACCTTGAGGTGCAGCTAGGCAAAAACTGGCCAAAGCCAGCGTTAATAATACCTTCCACATTGCGGCTGTGGTCCTGGAACAAAGTCGAAGCAGGATTTTACGCGTTAATCCATCGCGGTAGAAAATTCCTTAACACTAGATTTACATAATTATTCAAATTATTCAGAATTATGCAGAATTATGCAAAATTATTCAAATTACTCAGATTGTAAAGATGCATTTATGACTTATTTATTCAATACATGTTATTTACGGCAAATAGTACAATAATTCTCCAGGATAAAAAACGACGTAATTAGCCACGGAGATCCATGGACGATTTCTACTCAATTTCTAATCGATATTTCTAGCACCCATCGTTAAACGTCGAAATCGAATCAGTCGCAACCAACCGCGCCGATACCTTCTATCGTTCGCACATAATATTTTGACCAATTATAAATGAACGTGATATCAGAGGATCGCAATTAAACCGCAAGAAACCAGTAAATCGTGTCTCGATTAAAATTCAACTACGGAAGAATCTCACTGTCCGACGATATGATCGACGATCGGACCGGCTAACTATCGGTCTCGCGGTATGCGAACGCGACGCGACGCTTGATTAATAGCTGCAGATGTTCGTTTAGATTTAACAGAACAAGGAAACTGTTCGTCTTAATTGGAGGCCGAGCAGGAAGTCGATAATACCGTGAATAAATACCGAACGAGTATCTCGAAACTAGTTGGCGCGGCGTCGCGCGAACAGCCGCGCATCTTTCGAGTTTTCAAGGCGATCCGGGCGCTTCGAGACGCTGGGACGTTCCGAGGGTTCAAGGTGATCGGGTCCGTCGCGATTCGCGATGGAAGCTGTTGCACTCGAGGGCAACTCCGTCGACTATGAGAAAACTGCGAACGACGCGAGTCTCGACGGCGGCGCTCAGCTATTTTCTTGGTATCTGTGCGCGTAAAAAACGAACAAATTGCACGAGTGACGCACGGTTCGGACGATCGGTGCGGAACGCAAGCAATATGCACATTTTGTTTCCAACGGAGAAAACGAGACGAGACGCGACGACGTGGGATTCCGCGAATCGATCGTCTTCGTCCCGCTTCTCTGTTGGCCGGCACGAGTTACATAAGCGTTCCCGACGGAATCACCGTTCACGGTCGATGAAAAATGCTTGGCACTGACCTTTGCCGAGAGAGAGAGAGAGAGAGAGAGAGAGAGAGAGAGAGAGAGAAAGAGAGATCGGCCAACGGGACCAGCGAACCGGCACGTCGGCTCGCGAACCGGCCGCCGATCGTCACGAACACGAGTCCCGGAATTAACGATTTCTGCGACGCCGGCACAAAGGTGACTCGAGGCAGTCCGAATCGTCTCGTACAACGTTAAAGATAATCGCCGTAAACATCCGCGGGGGGTAAGTCCTCGGTCGCGGTAACGATCCTCTCGATTTGAAATCGGGTTCGATCGCGAGGACGCGTCACACTTGGAACGATTCCCTTCCGATTCACTGCGGACATCGAACGAGCGCGGCTCCTTTGTTTACATCGGGCACAATCGGACGGAGGTATCGATCGAAGACAATACTCACGGAGATCGCAGTCAGTGAGGAACGAGTTGCCTCTTCAAGTAGCAGCGCACGATTGCGACTTGCCGGACAGCGGATCGGAGATCCGTTCGCTTACACACACAGCAGCCCGGCGACCGGCATATATGACTAGCTCCCCACCAAGATTCTCGATTCCTTGATTCCTCGCCGCGGCACGCTATCGCGATGCCCCTTAACAGGTTGGCTTCGATTTTTACTGACATGGGGAAACCTGGTATTCCCCGTACCCCCTCGCACGCCATGGGACCGGGACAACACCATCGTTCTTGGAACCGTGTCGAATAATTTCGATCGCCGTTCCCCACGATGCTGGAATTTTGGAAAACCACCGGATAGAAAGGCAGTCGTACGTTAGTCATCGGGTGTCCGACTGCTGCGGTCAGCACGGTGCGATAGTTGGAACACGTCGGAGTTACGTCGAATTTCAAAGGACTATTTTTAATACCGATATTGTATCGTGCTATGCGCGCAGCGAATCGAATAAAAGCTTCGGCTGTCATCGACGGATACGCTTCGTACGCAAATGCAGATATCGTTATAAGGTGCGAGGTCAACAAAACACAGCGAACGCGAATTAACAGGAACGAGGAAACTCTGTGTTCTATCGATAGGAGGAAAGTCTGTGGTCCATTTCATTGGACACGATGGCGAAGTGTGCTTTCCATCTTTATAAATTGCGAATATACAGGGGGTGCGGGAGAAATTGTGTACATTTATATTTAGCTGCTTTGGAAATTACTTAAATTTAATATTCTATATGTTCGGTCAGTCTAACGAGCGTATTAATCGCAGAACCGAACGATAAAATTTATATTATTTCACCCCGATACATTTTCGATGCCTTTTTCGAAAATTATTCACGATCGTCTCGTACTCGGTTATTGGAACTCGATGGGACATCTTCTGATCGCAATAATAATAATAATAATTTTAATTCTTCCTTTTTTACCGCCCTCCCCAGCCCCTTTTCACCGTATCCGGTAGTCGTAACAATGCCAGTGTTCTTCGTTCCTCCCCTCTGCAATTTAACAATTGCAACCCTTTTTTCGCTTTTTATTTTCAAGCTATGTACAATGGACGAAATACGTGTAAATTCGAAAGACAAAATAGATTTGAAAAATTTGCAGGAAGAAACGAGCGTTTTTCGTAGGACAGAATTCCCTCCGCACCCCGTATACCCCGTCAACAGTCCGGACCATTCGAGCGACAACTTAGAGAGTTCCCTCGCCCCCCTCGTTGACCCGGGATTCGGGATAAGTGGATAACTAATGGGACATTACGCGATAAGTTATTTCGTCGAGAAAACACTCTTCCGTAGTTTACGACGCCACGATCTTTTTTACGGGGCTTCGCGTGAATTTCTCGACGGTATCGCGAGTGTTCTTCGTCGTTGACCTCGACGAGGAGGTTGACAATGACCGAAACCCTCTCTAGAGGCTCGGCGAGCGGTCCGAGACCGACGGCCCGCGACACGTGCGCTCCAGTCGAGTTTTACAAGCTCCTTGACACGAAAATCAACGATCCTGGAAAAAAGAAGTACAGCGTGGAACGTCGATTCCCCCGGACAATGTGTTTACAATGTATATTTCCGGCGGAACCCGACGAGGTTGCCTTGTATTATCTACATTGTAAATAACACTATTTTTATCGATCTTTTGCATCACACCAATTTCGAGCGAATTAATTTTAGAATCGTTGTAAAGCAAGTTTGTAAATTCGACGGAGGCAAATGTAGGATAAATCTGATTTTTAAGATTCTGAAATGTATTTTTATCGTTAGTATTATTTTTAGAATAAAAAATTAAAGAGAGAACTATAAGATTTTCTCTGTTTTAAATCTTAGCTTTCCAGTTTCGGTATCATTAATTGAACAACTTTGAAATTCGGAAGATTCTGAATGAAAATCTTGGAATTTTGTCGTTTCACCCCCCTTCGGTGCTAAATAGTGTTTTCCTTTATTAACCGAGCGAGTGTTTAAAACACTGTGCACACATGTCGGCGGACTTTGAACGTGACGGGCGTCCAGCGCATCGATAGAATTTTGATGTTTTTATGGTGTTAAGGTCATCTATGAATTTCTCGGAACAGCCGTAAGAGCCCGTCGACGATCCTAAGTCCGATAATACGAGGAAACTCTGCGGCATTATTTCAAAATATGTAGTAAGCAGAAAGATTGTTTTCGATTAGGATTATTCGACCGGCACTTCGGACTGCAGATGCCGCGACGATCACGCCGATGCTATCGTAAACCATTTAGACGCTGGCACCGCCGTGAAAAACTGGTGACACAATGAAAATTAGGTCGCACGGCGATGCTCCTAATCGCCGTCAACGTAGCATACAGATTTCCTGATAATACCCGCGGAGGCGCGCGCGACGATGCCAGCAGGCCGCCGGCTGTTATGGCACGCGAGCGTTACGCGAGTAAATTAATTGTTGCACGTTAACTGCGCCGACTTTGTCAGAGTTTCTGGTTAAATTAAAATTCCCGTCGATACTCCCGCGCACACATAATCAACGACGACGTTGTACGTCTTCTCGATCGTCGACGCAGCATTTTGCGCGTCGGAGGTTGCGTTTAATCGCGTTAAGAATATCCATTTAAATTAGTTCTTCGAATATCGCAATATTGAGAAATATGTGAAAAATCATTTCCAGAATGTAGAATTACGGTTCGAAGAACGAACTTCCGTCACGACGATGCGTTGCCTGTGTCGATGACGATGAAATTCCATCGCGTTCTTTCCGTAGAAAATATATTAAACTATTTACTTGGATAGCGGCGAGCTCGTAGAATATTTAGGAAATTATTATCGGAATATAGGGTGTCGTGTTGGAAGGTGAAAAAAAAATAAACTTCCTCCGTGACAATGTGATTTGCGCACATTGCCGTGACCAGGATTCGAACCTGGGTTACTACGGCCACAACGTAGGGTCCTAACCACTAGACGATCACGGCTATTGGAAGTGTTGTTCTTACAGTTCTACTTTCGTATGGAATAACCGCATGGAAATCGACGCGCGCTTGCATAACCGTTATTTTGCGACGCGGTCGCTAATTCGTATTGCGACTCGTCGCATGCTGGACGAATTAGGAGCATGGTTGCTAAGTCGATTGGCTGCGAATTTGATGATTCCGTTCGTGGAACGCGAAGCATGCTCGGGAAAATTTGTCGAATTCCATCGTGTACAATACGCCGAGACATGAATTTTGTCGCNGTTTAAAACACTGTGCACACATGTCGGCGGACTTTGAACGTGACGGGCGTCCAGCGCATCGATAGAATTTTGATGTTTTTATGGTGTTAAGGTCATCTATGAATTTCTCGGAACAGCCGTAAGAGCCCGTCGACGATCCTAAGTCCGATAATACGAGGAAACTCTGCGGCATTATTTCAAAATATGTAGTAAGCAGAAAGATTGTTTTCGATTAGGATTATTCGACCGGCACTTCGGACTGCAGATGCCGCGACGATCACGCCGATGCTATCGTAAACCATTTAGACGCTGGCACCGCCGTGAAAAACTGGTGACACAATGAAAATTAGGTCGCACGGCGATGCTCCTAATCGCCGTCAACGTAGCATACAGATTTCCTGATAATACCCGCGGAGGCGCGCGCGACGATGCCAGCAGGCCGCCGGCTGTTATGGCACGCGAGCGTTACGCGAGTAAATTAATTGTTGCACGTTAACTGCGCCGACTTTGTCAGAGTTTCTGGTTAAATTAAAATTCCCGTCGATACTCCCGCGCACACATAATCAACGACGACGTTGTACGTCTTCTCGATCGTCGACGCAGCATTTTGCGCGTCGGAGGTTGCGTTTAATCGCGTTAAGAATATCCATTTAAATTAGTTCTTCGAATATCGCAATATTGAGAAATATGTGAAAAATCATTTCCAGAATGTAGAATTACGGTTCGAAGAACGAACTTCCGTCACGACGATGCGTTGCCTGTGTCGATGACGATGAAATTCCATCGCGTTCTTTCCGTAGAAAATATATTAAACTATTTACTTGGATAGCGGCGAGCTCGTAGAATATTTAGGAAATTATTATCGGAATATAGGGTGTCGTGTTGGAAGGTGAAAAAAAAATAAACTTCCTCCGTGACAATGTGATTTGCGCACATTGCCGTGACCAGGATTCGAACCTGGGTTACTACGGCCACAACGTAGGGTCCTAACCACTAGACGATCACGGCTATTGGAAGTGTTGTTCTTACAGTTCTACTTTCGTATGGAATAACCGCATGGAAATCGACGCGCGCTTGCATAACCGTTATTTTGCGACGCGGTCGCTAATTCGTATTGCGACTCGTCGCATGCTGGACGAATTAGGAGCATGGTTGCTAAGTCGATTGGCTGCGAATTTGATGATTCCGTTCGTGGAACGCGAAGCATGCTCGGGAAAATTTGTCGAATTCCATCGTGTACAATACGCCGAGACATGAATTTTGTCGCATAAAGTACAAACGGTTCGACCGAAATGTACCTATCGTCGAACAATTACGCGCACGATCTGCCGCGATTAATAACCGTAACTAATCGGACACCCAAGTTGTGGTGAACTTTGACTTTAGCTTTCCACATACGTTGATTAAATCCCGGCGTAGACCGATAAATTTCGTCGTTTCAACTCGTTCACGCTATCGTCGTAGGATATTAAGACATAAAACTACGCATTTAATTATTCTATATTGGACCGTGGGTTTTACGCGTTTTCGTGGACTATTTCGCGACGATTCAAATGCAAGAAAATAAATAGGACCTGATCTTGTTTTAGAGTTTAGAAGAACCGGCGTTCGCTGGACAAGTGAACAAAAATTTTGCAAAAATTGCAATTGGTTGGAATTACAAAGAAAAGATTTATGAATCGTTTTTTTTATCTGATCTTGAGTAAAATACAAACATTGCATCGTGTCAGGAAGTACCGAGATTCTTACAGCATTTTCAGCATGAATATAACATCCATGGATGTGCAAAACGTATTTTTTAAATTTCCCAAGCTTTTCCTAGTTTGTTTGGAAAACTTAAAAATTCTTCGCTCTTTTTATCCGTCCGTTGTTCAGATCAATCGCAATTTCGGCAAAATATTTTCAACTCGTGGCCCAATAAAATCCCTCGAAAATGTAAGAAACAAAATCGTTCGATACCGGTTTTTTCTATTAGAAACGCTTGTTATCCAGCATAGATTTCTCATAAAATTTCGTAGACATCATAAACGCCGGAACATCCAGGGCCGCGCCACCGAAATCGGTAAAAGCAGCTTCGTCCGCGTAATTGATTACCGCTTAAATCGCGCTTTATTCTGGAAAAACAAAAAAACAATTCACGGTGCAACAGGGGAGGACTAGAGAAATACTGGTCGGCGATGAACGTTGCTTGAACGGTTACGTCCCGTAAGTGGCCAATTGCACATCGATCCATTGCGTGAACTGCGCGACGTCCGTGTACACGGCCGGGACGGTCGACGATCCGCAGCCGATGCCCCAAGACACGATGCCGGCCTGTCCGAGGACAAAAAGAAACGTGGAAGGTAAAAATCTGGGCTCGTTTTGTGCGACGATCGTGCTCGCTCCGGCGGCCACGTGTTTCCATCGAGATACCTGAACGAATTGTCCCGAAGCTGTCGGATAAACGAGAGGTCCTCCTCCGTCCCCGGTGCACGTGTCCTTGTTCGGCTCACCCCCGGCGCAAATGAACGAGCTGTGCAACTGGAAATTCGGGCCCAATTTCGTTGTCCTCAGCCGGTACTGGCAATCCGTTCTGCCGACGTACGGCAGATCCACTTTGCGCAGCTGGCTCTGATACACGCCGTCTTCAATCGGCAAATTCATAATTCAGAAGCGGCTAAAAATATTTGCAGCGCAGCGCAGACTCCCTTGATCGAACATTTATTTTTATGATATTCTGCTGTCCGAATTGTTATCGTTTCGGTTTCGGGATATTACAAAAATAAACGTTCAGATAAGAGAGATTGAAAACACCGTTGTTTTTAATAACGAATGCAAGCAGGCAAAAGTTAATGTCATTGCTTCGCAACTCGTAGCAAAATCGTGTGCATCGGATCCTAATTTCAGCCCGAAGAATTGGCCGTTATATTTTAGCTGTCATATTCTGTCGGATGGAAAATATAAAAGCGTGATGAATTGGTAGCGCGTTTTCTTTTACCGGTTGCATAGTGGCTCGCGCGATAAGCATCCAAAGGGTTAGAATATTAATTGGAACAGCGAGTCAGCGAACGGTGCATTTATGCGGCTATCTGATCAGACGCTGAGCTGGCAACGACTCTATAGGTCCTAATTGTAACGATCAACGTCGCCAGTTTTTCAAACTGGCTACGACTCGCGCCACCGAAAGAATAGGTCGCGGCGAAGGGATGCTCGGCCGAAGGGAAACGAAACAACGAAATCAGCCTCACCGAACGTATTTTTGCCCCATCCAGACCCTATACACCTGATACCAGGCGGGACAATCGCTCCTTGCTGCGGCACACAAACGGGCACCACGTTCACCGTTTTATTGAACGGTTTGGCCAGAATGACCACCGCAATGTCGTTGAACAGTCCGCCGCTGTAGAACAACGGATGGGTCACCACGACCTTCACGTTGCTCTCTTGATAGGGCAACGACTGGTTCGAACCGTCCAAATTCAATTGGCCGACCCGCGCCACCAGTCTGCTATCGCCGCGCCTGGACAAAAGAGATTCCCGAGCTCCGTTAATGCTCTTCCGCCGGTTCTACGTTATATAATCCGAGGCCGTTTTAAAGTCCGAGGGCACGGAATTTGGGGCATCTAACCCAATTCGAATGAAACTCACTTGGCGACGCAATGAGCCGCGGAGAGCACCGCCGAGTTCGTGATCAAAGAACCGCCGCACAAGAACAGGTACTTGCCGTCCGCCTGCAGCGAAAGAATCGCCACCATCCATGGAAACTCGCCCAAATAGGTCCTGCCGCTGTCCGCTGGATAGGGTTGAGCTGTGGAATCGAATTACGCGAGCCTATCGAATTAATCTGAACTCGCGTGCAGAGTACGCGCTATCGGAGCATAGTGTGAGCATCTATCGCTATCGGAGCATGCGATTAGACCATCTATTACCTAGAATATCCAAAGGAAAATTTGGGAGAATTTATACGAAAGGACGCTACCTGGCGCAAGGCTGGCGTTCCTCAGGCCGCATCCGGGTTGCGAGAAGGACGCGTCGCCGGTGACGATGTTCTCCGCTCGACCTTCCTGTACGTCGCGACCCCTTTGATCGGAAACGGCGTAGGGCCGACAGCAGACTTCGTCCGGGCTTGTGCAGGCGGAGAATCTAGGGTCGATGGCACCGACTCCCCAATTGACCGAGTTCCCGGCGGAACAGAGCCAGGACTTCATACAATAGCAGGCCTGATCGGTGCCTGGGTACCTAACGGGGCCGAGGATCACCGGGATCCCGCCCGAGTACGAAGGATTCGACCCTCCGCAGCAGGCGGTCGGGATCGGGCAGGATTGATGATGCACCAGAGGATTCACCAGGCCCGCGTTCACGGGGACCACGACTCCGTTGCTGCAACGGATCAAGTTCCCGCAGAGCAAACAGATCTGTTGCGGAACAGGGTTCGACGGCGGGTACGCTATCACGCTGGCCGGGCGACAGCAGACGTAACCGGCGATGGGACACTGCGACGGCAGCAGACGGGGGTTGATCACACCCTCGCCCGAAGTCCCGATCACGCCGTATGGGTCGCATTGCGATATCGGCACGCAGACGCACACTTGAGCAGACGGTTGCTCCGTGTTCGGGAATATCACCGGTGCCACGGTCGTCGTGGTCTTCATCGTCGTCTTCATGGTCGTCGGTGTCGTCTTCATGGTCGTAGGGGTCGGCTTCGCCGTCGTCGTCGCGTTCACCAGGCGACAGCAGACCTCTTGATCTCCCGTGCACCTTCGGTATCTGATTTCAAGGTTTACGTTAAGGGAAGAAAGTAGCCTGAATTTTAAACATTTCTTCTTTTTGGAGTAAAAAGCAGAGCTGGCCATTGTTCCGATCGTTTCGAATAGATATTTATCTAAGAGAATCGTGCGAATGGATTTCTTCTGGTCGAATGTTTTATTCGGAAGGGTAGTAACGGGGAGAGATCCTGTATCTCTATGTTCTATAGAGAGATTCTATATCTTTCTATATTTCTGTAATCATCGAGATTCTATCTCGAGGACCGGTGCAGCGATCAAGATTATGTCTCACTCACCTGATGATGATCTGGCCGATCTGGTCCGCGGTGACGGTGCCGTTGACACTGCACAGGTAATAGGGCACGCAGATGCAATCGGCGTTCGGCGGGGGTGTCTCGATTTTCTCGATCTTCTGGAGCTTCTTCTTCAGCTTGAGCAGGTGCAATAGAAAGAACGGGGACGATTCTTTGCGCAACGAGCTTCCGACATCTTTGCCACCCTCCGCGCTCAAAGAGTCCGTCTCGTGGGCGATCAGAGCGACCGAGGCGAGACACGCGAACGCCAACGCGAACAGGCGCGACATGACTTGCTTCGTTTACGCCGGCTGGTCACCTATTGAACGATTTTTAACGCGGTCCCGCGTTTATGTACCGCCGTGCAGGATGTACGTTGGATTTCCTGACGCACCGGGAATGTCCACTCGCAGATAGGAGGCTTAATGGGTGTGCCTTTGTTGCGTGGACCAGCCCTGAATTTTCCTAACAATAGCCGCGGGCCTTATCTTCCATCTGGAAGATGCGACAGGATAATGCTAATGGTCTTATTTTTCGATCATTTTTTATCCAGAATTGTTGCCGCGATGACAACGAGGTACCCTGGATTTTCCTGGTTTTAGCACGGTGGTAGTAGGGGGTAGCGGGGCCTATTACTGTCAAGCGTACCCCAATTGTGCCTTTGCTCCGTTTTCCGGCACAATTAACTTCGTACTTATGTAATAACATATATTCAGTTTTTCAATGCCATACCTTAGATATGATTATAAAGTAAAATTGTACGTTACAATTTTAAATATAATTATAAAGCAAAATTACACAGTTTCAAGCGCGCGTGTTACTTATTAGCGAATATAAAAGAACGAAAGAGAAAATCGAAGAAGTCGACGACAATTTTCTACCCCCTGAAAAGCGTTTCGCAATGGGTGGTTTAACCCGAGCTCGTTCAACGTCGCGTCGCTGAAAACACCGTCAGGAAATTCCCGCGAGATTTAGGCGAGATTCCTTGATCGCCTAATGGTGTCCGTCGCTAACCAGGCGTGCGGCAGCGATTATCCGAGCAACCCGTCGTAACGAATACAATTGCTCGACCTAGTTACCTACCGCGGGACGGGAAAACATTTTCGATTCACGAAAAAGCGTCGCGACGACTGGATTCGCGATCGCGACGAGCAGCACGAACGCGTTATTAAGATAACGCCGGCCGGAAATGCTACGCCGGACGATTACGTTACCCGCCCCGCGAGCAAGGGTTGAAACGACGCTCGCGAATCGACCGATAAAGAGTTCAACGCGGCAACTTTCTGGACCGATTATCGCTCGGCCAGGGTCTAACGTCGGTTGCAAACGGTACGAAACAATTGTCGCCGGTGTACGCGATGCTACGACGAAACGTTGCACGGCACGACACGGCACGGCGCGTGTTCTGCGAAAGCCGTTCGATCACGCGATACACGGTGGCTTACTTCTAAACCGTGTTATTTTTATGTTTTATTTTATTCGCGAACACAAACGATCCCCGGCCGCAGATAAAGATTTACGCTGCCACTATTTTTCCAACAAAGTAGGTAATCCGTGGTGGGGGAGAGGCGAGAACAAAGTGGAACAGAACGGCAGACGTGACGAAAACTGTAGATATATTTTTCTTAAATATCAATAATCATGATACAAATTATCGGACTACATATTGCTTAAATAATAATATAATAGATAATATAATATAATAATATAACATAATATAATATAATAACATGGATATATAAGAAAAGTGAACGCGATACAATTATAATAATTATATATTATGACACGGTAGTACGCAAAATGTACGTAAAATTACAAATACGGGAAACGAGGAGCGTTGATGGAACAACGACGATTCGCAGACGACGCCGAGGAATTTGAACGAAATCAAAAATCTCCAGGCCTAGCTGGAAAAACTCGAAACTAAACAGAGGCACATCGTTATCATTTGTCATTTTTCATCGTCGTCGCGTCGCGCGTGATCGCGATCATTCAACGCTCCGTCGTTCGCCGTTTAGGGCACGTAACGGATGCGAATGAAATACATATTGCGTGGAAAAATTAACATTTGTACAATTCTGTGCGGAAACAAGCTCGGTTTGCGCGAATGTTAGGATACATCGATGGCGCGTGGAATGGAAAAACGGGAACGTCGGGAAACCAATGGAACACACGCGGTGCATTACAAACGTAATAACCGTCACGGGGATTAAGCTGTACCTTCGTAAATGACTGTGGAGTCGCTCTCGCGCAGCTATTATTACGTTATCACTTGCCGCTCTTAATCGTGAACCACGCTCGGTGTCGGATTACAGTAACGTCATCTCACGTTTTATTGTGAATCATTTCGCTCCGCGCGAAAGCCCTCCCTCGCACGCGCACACATACATACATACATTCTCTCTCTCTCTCTCTCCCTCTCTCCAGCATCACTGTTGTCCACGTACCTGGACGGTTTCCACAGGCAAATTTTAGCTCCCTTCGAAGCCATATAACTCCACGGATAACTATAATTCTCCTTAGCCTAAATGTTGTTGCCTACTAATGGTCAACGTTACAGCTACCTGTACGAAATAGTCACGCAATAAATGGTCCACTATTCTCTACTGGATAAATTGTTCTCCTTTCCTTTTTCTTATCTAGAGTCCAGTTAATTAACACATTCTTAAAATCGACAGTTAAGAACTTTTTAAACGTATGTTCAGAGAGCGCGAAACAATCTCGTCGTATTACTTAGTTCTTCCGATGATTCTTATTTAAAAGAATATATCTTCCCTTACAGAAAAGCCCGCCCAACGGCGGGTTTCCGGTAAATCTAACGCGTTAAAATAGCGGACTATTTAGTGGCACGATTTCGCGCCCCTCGCGCGACCCGAGATACAGTTTAACAGCGATAAACTCAACGAGGAAACTTTCGAAGATCGTTCGTAATAAAAAAAATAGTCTACACGGAGTTGCGGGTGTCGCGAGGGCGTCGAATGTTCAAGAGATTCTTGAACCCCGGATTTTTTGGTCTCGTTAACGCGAACAACCCCCCCGCTGTCTCTCAGTCAATGTACGACAGCCGACGCGTTGTCCTCTCTTTTATAGAATAATCGTCGCGATCCTTACCCGCTAAACATATCCTAACTACCGTTAATTGATACAGGAACATCGACCACAAAACGTAGTACACATATATAGTCTTCTCGCGAGCTTGTATCCTAAATTCACAAATCCCTCTATAAATTCGAACGAACAGGGCGTTCGATTCGAGATTCGATGTGTCGGGTTGTGCTACTGGCTCTTCGATGGCGGCACTCTTCTGTATGCACTGGAACGCGAATCGCTCGGAAATCGAGTTTTAAAACAATTCGGGGGACCCGACGACGAGAGCTGGCACACGCTCCGCGCTTATTTGTACACAAAAGCTGTGGCCAGACGAGCCTGTGGGGCTCTGTTTGTACACAACTGTGCAACCGATGGGTTACCAATTGTGCCGTATTCCCATCGAGAATCACCGAGAATCGAATCGCGACCCTTCGACGGTTCCGCTCGCCGACGACCGGATCGTCGGGTGCTACCTGGTGAGCCTCTTTATAAATCTAAGCCTTACTCTAGGAAATATACAAAATACGATAAATCGAGTATCGACGTATTCTATTCGGAGAAAATGATTAGAACGGCGAAGGCCGAAGCTTTTTTTCTTCGCTTCCGCGAGAGAAGCGAGCGCGCCGTTTCTCTGTCTCTCGCTCGGCCGTCTGCCATTTCGAGCGCGTGTTCTATTCAGCACTTGCGACCGTTCCGCGGAAAAGAAAAAACACACCGCCTGGACGGAGCAGCGATTCGGCCGGCGATCGTCCGAGACAAAGAACGGTAAACAGAAAATAGATTTGTCGTGGATTACCTTGGACGAACGACGGTCGAATACGCGTGGAACGGAGCGTTTCGCTCGCGTACGCGCGAATTCGGAGAACGAGACGTCGCGACCGAAGCACGAATTCGTTGGGATTTTTTCTCTCTCTCGGCGCTGTGACGCTGCTCGAAACACGAGTTCTGGTGATTTGGAAAATCGAGAAACGCGGTCGCACGCTTCGAAACGCTGTAAGAAGTCGGATCGGATTAAAAGTTGCTAGATCTTTTCGGAAGAAATTGCTCGAGAAAATTACTCGATTAAATTCATATCTCGGTTCTCGATGCGAGCCGTTAAAAAACGCTGCTCTTAGGAACTTGAACCGTTTTTTATTTTTTTGTAAACAGCGAAGTTTCGCTGAACGCAGCGAACGTAGTCTCGCGATTAGCTAAGTAAAACGGGACTACCTTCGATTTGGGAAAAATGGACGTAGAAAAGTCACGCGTCCAAACGCTAGTTCAATTGTCCGAGTATTTTCTATACTCGATCTCTGAAAAATTTAAATCGCCCCTCGTGCCGTCAATCGGTGCGAGATGAAAGTGTATTATATTATTTATTTATATATATATATATGTATAGCTGACTGTTCGAAGATTCGTCAGAACATCGATATCGAAAGAAGAATGATCTCGCGCCTCGTACTATAAAATATAGTCTTATGTTCGCATTATCACAGTACTTGTTACGTAGTCTTCGTTAAACGTTCGTTCTCTCCCTATATTAACACCTAAAAAATCCTTTCGAAAAAAGAATACCGTAAAGATAAAGATGTCCGCGAGTTCTCTATGCTGACGCATTCGAACACCGCCAGGGTCATGTACGCGTAAATATACGTACGCATAATTTAAAAGAAAAAAAAACGATCAAAGAAGAGAATGCAAGGAAGAAGGAACAAGTACAATATACCGAAGAATATCGAGAATGTCGGTCTACGAAACGGATCTCTCTATCGCGAGAACACCTCGAATCACACACCTTTCTCCCATAACGTATGGCACAACAGCTTATATAAATAGTTCTTACAACTATAAGTTCTTTGGATACAGCTGGTCGACGATGTTCATCCCTGCGAACTCGACTATATCTCTCTATTTCGCTCGATCGCCGCTTGAAGATCCAACGTGCGCGGTCAAACATTTTGAGACAATGTTTATTGCGAATTTTCGGAACTAACTGGAGCAATTAGCTTCTCACGTTGGATTCAATTGGAAGAAAATGGGAAGTGAGAATTCAAGGGTTGAGTAACCCTGGACTGCTGCCATTTCGATAGTAGGGGAAATACTTTAAAGGTCGCGTTGTACTAAGAGCACGGTGAATTTTGCTCGTTGGTGCAGCAGGCCAGATATCGGTATCCGGTCTTATCGATTCAAAACATATAAGAGAAACCTCTGGCTCGCGGGTAAGGTAACTCTCTGGACCGATCGATCGATCAACGAACGGTAAAACGCAGCGTTCTCTCCCGGTGAAACAATTTCAGCCCTCGTTCGCTTCGAACCGACGCGAGACGATTATCGATTACCTACCGGCAAATGATACCGAGATCTCGCTCGAAGTTTCTTTCATTTCTCTAGTCAGCCTCGAGGCACTCGAATATAACCGGACACCTCTCTCTCTCTCTCTCTCTCCAGCTCTCTGTGTTTCTCTTCTGTATCCGTTTCATGGCACGCGAACGATGACACGTGCAGGTCCCTTTTACTTGACCCTTCGTTTGCCCATCGAGTTTCTCATAAGCTTGAACGCATTCGCCGTTGGCAATGTACCGCTGCCCTTCGGGCTCTTCTTGCAGTATTTCACAGTGTGCGCGTCGTCGCCGGTCGCGCCGCATATCGGACACGTGTACGCCCTAATGATGAACAAAAAGGAAAAAACGACGAATTAGCAATTGGTTAACCCGTTGACCTATGTGTCGAGCCTTTTGAATCGAATTAAAATTCTATTCGAAGCGGTAATTTCTTCGAAACTGGACCAAATTACTTGAATGACAAATTCTTTGGGTTAATTATAATGAATTTAAAAAGAAAAATTTAATTACGGTAAATTTTCAGTGTAAGTTTGAATTCCAATTAATTTTTTTATTTAAATCATAGTAGATTTTGATAGGAATTGAAGTAAAAATCTAAATTGTAATAGATTTATAATAGAAATTGAAATTAATCGATTTTGAATAGGAGTAAGATGAATTATAACAAGCTTTTAATATAATATTTTATTGCAACGAATTCTTGCGTAATAGCTTCTACCGTATTACGATAAAAATGGGTTCTGAAACCTAGTGAAAAATTAGGCAAACGTTTGAGCGAGATTTTATATATATTTGTAAAATATCGATAGAAATATTATTCTACTAATATCATAGTTTCGCGAGCATGAATAGAGGAATGTTTAATCACCTCAAGACCGGGCACTGTACTTTGCCATCGTTGTCCTTGAGCAAGTGCTTCTTGTAATAAACCTCCTCCTCGCCGTTGTTTCTGCAGAAAACGCATTCGGTGGGCAAGGGTTTCTTGTTCTTTTTGCGACGAGGCGTCGTCGTTTCCAGTATCTTGTCGTTCTCGAAGTCTGGACAGTATTCGAAATCGCGTCCATTATGACGGAACTCCTCCATTATGTCCTCCACTGAAACACATCGGAGAACTTTATACAATAATAGTAGATCGTCGGAATTCGTGTAAAAAGCGGCTCTATTATAGACTCTCTCTGTCTCTTGCGATTATAATTCATCCCCTCGAGAGGTGAAGCGAGCAAAATCGATACGAGCAAACATCTTCGGTGATAATTCGAAGAAAGTTACGGTGAAAAAATAAACAAATAAATAAATGTTCATATCGGCTGTGGATGAGCGGCGAGCATCGTTTATTTTCGTAGATCGAGGATTCGACAGAATGTAAACGGAGAAAAATAACGGCCGCAGTATCGGGTTTCACGGTTTGTAAACAGAATCGTCCTATTTTTCGAATGACGCAGATATACACGCGCGCACACACAAGCACACACACACACACACACACACACACACGCCGGTGGGTTAACGCTTATCCAGGAAACTAATATTCCCGGCGGTCGTTTAAAATCCCTGATTGTCAGGTGCACCAAGCTTAATAACATGCGAGTACAATTATCTTTTTTCATTAAANGCATTCGCCGTTGGCAATGTACCGCTGCCCTTCGGGCTCTTCTTGCAGTATTTCACAGTGTGCGCGTCGTCGCCGGTCGCGCCGCATATCGGACACGTGTACGCCCTAATGATGAACAAAAAGGAAAAAACGACGAATTAGCAATTGGTTAACCCGTTGACCTATGTGTCGAGCCTTTTGAATCGAATTAAAATTCTATTCGAAGCGGTAATTTCTTCGAAACTGGACCAAATTACTTGAATGACAAATTCTTTGGGTTAATTATAATGAATTTAAAAAGAAAAATTTAATTACGGTAAATTTTCAGTGTAAGTTTGAATTCCAATTAATTTTTTTATTTAAATCATAGTAGATTTTGATAGGAATTGAAGTAAAAATCTAAATTGTAATAGATTTATAATAGAAATTGAAATTAATCGATTTTGAATAGGAGTAAGATGAATTATAACAAGCTTTTAATATAATATTTTATTGCAACGAATTCTTGCGTAATAGCTTCTACCGTATTACGATAAAAATGGGTTCTGAAACCTAGTGAAAAATTAGGCAAACGTTTGAGCGAGATTTTATATATATTTGTAAAATATCGATAGAAATATTATTCTACTAATATCATAGTTTCGCGAGCATGAATAGAGGAATGTTTAATCACCTCAAGACCGGGCACTGTACTTTGCCATCGTTGTCCTTGAGCAAGTGCTTCTTGTAATAAACCTCCTCCTCGCCGTTGTTTCTGCAGAAAACGCATTCGGTGGGCAAGGGTTTCTTGTTCTTTTTGCGACGAGGCGTCGTCGTTTCCAGTATCTTGTCGTTCTCGAAGTCTGGACAGTATTCGAAATCGCGTCCATTATGACGGAACTCCTCCATTATGTCCTCCACTGAAACACATCGGAGAACTTTATACAATAATAGTAGATCGTCGGAATTCGTGTAAAAAGCGGCTCTATTATAGACTCTCTCTGTCTCTTGCGATTATAATTCATCCCCTCGAGAGGTGAAGCGAGCAAAATCGATACGAGCAAACATCTTCGGTGATAATTCGAAGAAAGTTACGGTGAAAAAATAAACAAATAAATAAATGTTCATATCGGCTGTGGATGAGCGGCGAGCATCGTTTATTTTCGTAGATCGAGGATTCGACAGAATGTAAACGGAGAAAAATAACGGCCGCAGTATCGGGTTTCACGGTTTGTAAACAGAATCGTCCTATTTTTCGAATGACGCAGATATACACGCGCGCACACACAAGCACACACACACACACACACACACACACACGCCGGTGGGTTAACGCTTATCCAGGAAACTAATATTCCCGGCGGTCGTTTAAAATCCCTGATTGTCAGGTGCACCAAGCTTAATAACATGCGAGTACAATTATCTTTTTTCATTAAATTCGACGCGCGTCGAAGCGAGCCGACGGCACTTTTCCGCGAATCCATGAGTCAGCGGACTACTATGTAGGTATATTTACTGCTGAATGGCCGCGATTCGCGTATTGTAATAAACGTTATTATTATTTCATTTTTTCCTTCCACGGATCGGCCGGAGGATCGAAGGGATTTTAATAAATTTCGTGGGACGCGGTTCGGTGAACCGTGGCCGATAAAACGATTCGAGGAATCGCCGTCGGCAGAAATTCTATTCCGCCGCTACGTTTTAGAATACAGAATTCCTCTTATCGATTCGTCTGTTTACAAACTACGGAAGGTGTGTGTTTGCCGATCAGATCCGAGCCCGATGACGCACAATGAATTACCCACGGACCATATGGTTTAAAATGTGACAATAGAGAGAGAGACCACCGTCTTCTCTAAACAACCGCGTTTTCTGTACGAATCTTCGCCCGCTTCGCGATTTTAATTCGAACATCGAACTTTCGAACGATCTTAGAAACAACAGCGTTTCCCACCAGAAATCTCGTTCGATCTGAATTCGAATAGCTGTCAAATTCAACGCTTTTATCGCAGGAATAAATAAAACCGAAAATTCGTACAGTCACGCGGGAAAGGTTTGCAAATTCGAGGAACGGAATTTCCCCGAGCCAGAGGAAGGGGTGGAAAACGTAAACGGCGGAGGGGGGCGCGGTGATTTTTATTCGTTCCGATCGCAGGCTCGAATTATAGATTTTCCACGCGGCCGAATAAAAACAGATTCCATCGGCGGCTTCCATCGCGTTTCTATGGAAACAAATGATCGTCGATGACAGTTTACGGCAAGCGGTGAGGAATCAATAGCGAACACAAGAAAGTCTGTTGTGTACAAACCGGTGTTCGCTTTTTCAACGAGCAATAAAATAAGAACCGGCCGACGAACACACAACCATCTTATCCTCGCGGAGAACCTAGGCGGAATTGACGGAACCGGATAAATCTGATGGACAGTCGCTAGTTGAATCGAGCGAACCGAAAATTACCGAGAATATTCGGTGAACTGGAAGCGCGATGGAAAGAGATCTTGCCTGCAATTGAAACGAAGACGTTGTTGAACGTTTCGCGGCGTAGAAGGATTGCGTTACACGCGGCAACACGACACACGCGCGGCGAGCGATAAACGTTAATTCGAAAAAATTCCAAAGAACGATTTTGAGCGGACGTCGATCGTCGCGGTCGGATCGAGCGGAGCCTAGATCCGGCGACTCATCGATCGCGTTCCACGAGGAAGCCGGCGTGTCGTTCCATCGAGTTCCGGTTACGATCGGCGCGGAGGAGAACACACCAAGACTTTTACTTACCATTCGGCACCGGCGCAGTCTGCGTCTCGATCGTGAAATTCTCGAACAGCCGTCGTATCTCCTCCTCCAGGCTGGTGTTGAACGGATAGAACACGTTCGATACCTGCGGCATCGGCAGTTGTTGTACAACGTACATCATGATCGTTGATCTACGACGACGATCGTTGATTTTCGCGTGGCGGACGAGAACGGTGTGCACTGGTCGCGAGAAGAGTGTCGGGAGCTTGCAACGCGCCGGTGACCGGCGACCTCCGACCACGGGAAACAAAATCAGAGCACAACCAGCGAGGAGAGAGCCCGAAGGATCGTGGTCGGTGCCGCGAAAGTGTCAGCGAAGAAGATCAACGAGATCCAACTTGGTCGGGTTTCGAAATTCAACTGACGAGGCCAGGGATGTCACCGTCGCCGTCACCGTCGCCGTCACCGTGACCGACGATCACGAAGAAAGGGTCCGGTAGTGGGGATGCCGGCGTCTGCTTGGGCCCGGCACATCGTCATATTGTACGCGTATCTCCGACAAGGATGGAAAGCGGCTAACAATTACGCAGCCCTTACGCGGCACAGCCGTAGCCTTTCCGATCCGACGTTGGCCAAGGTTGTCGGTCGAATTTTGATTTTGTTAACCTGACAAAGAGAGAAGTTCGATTGAAGTTTCTTCATTTTTCTATCGTACCAAGCGATTGAAATCTGACGAAAGCTATTCGTTCTCTCCGACAAACTAGTTTGTCTAACGCTTCGAAAATATTCGTTACGTTTCCCTGGTACATTTACTAATTCCTGTAATCTTTGCAGAAAGTTCTGCAATTCGTATTTGCAATTGTTTACATTTTTTTTTGTTTGGCGTGAAAAGATACTCACCTGTGATATTGTATAGGCAACGCCGGGACGATGCGGTGTCGCTATATAAAAATACAGCGGTGTGTATTTACCGGTGTTTATCGCAGATTTAGAAACAGTATTGTTTCATTATCGATACAATGCTAAGAAATAACGAAACCGATATTCGCCAACAGAATTGCCACGATACCGAAGTCTATGTTTACGAGTGGAAAAGAGCAGGTTATATTACAATTTATGACAGTTGACATATCTTATATGTATGTAGGTTTAAATATTGCCGGTCGGTGCCATCTGTGTCTTCGACAAGGACGATGGATACACTTTCTTCGAAAGACCTTTCTTGCAACTGCAGATACGCTGTGTTTTATTACACTAAAATATGTATATCGATATTTTTATATTAGGCTATAATATTATTCGAGTATTTTCATAGTTAAATTCGACGAGGTTTGCAAACGTGCCATTTAAAGTTTATCGCCTTATCTGCTGTGCCACGAAAAGGAAAACCGAAAAGAATCGGTATTTATTTCGGTTCGGCTGTACAGCTTTGTTAGCGCAACAAAGTTGTCGAAAGCATGCCGGTTTAAGTCTCTGGTTTTGATAGAAGCATCGGCGATACGGCTGAGTAAGGTAGATTGTAATTGCATACGTATAATACTAGGCAATGGCCAGGGCACAAAAAAGGATACGACTCTTGCGAATGGTTTAATAAAATTCTATTCAATTCTGAATAATAGAAGTGTGTAGTTTTCGAGTACTTTTCGATGGCCGGCTCTCCAGGGAAATGGCTCTTCCGTAAAATAGAATTTTCCATCACATTTGACCCAGTTCCTCGGGATCTAAAAGAGCAAATAGAACGAAATGTTTTCGTAGCGAGCCTTAAAATGCTACTAAACATATCCAATAAAAGGGATGTTATTAGTTTTTCAATTTGAGCTACGTATAGAATTATAAAATTGCCGATGCTTCTTCTGCATCCGCGAAAGGATTATTTTCTAATTATGCATCAACGATCGATCCATCCAAAAGAAATCGATATTCCGATGCAACGTTCGGAAGCAGGAATATGCAAGAAATAAATCGATAACAAAATAGGAAAAATACTTTATAATCTTTTTTTATTCGGATCGATTATTTTCCGTATGAATTCCTGCAGCAATACAATTTTATTCCAATGGATTCTTATTCGAATAAAATCTTATTATTCAGATAAAGTTTCTAGGTATATTTTTATTCGGATAAAACGATCGGATATTAATTCGATAGCGTCGAATAAGATTTTACTCGTTAGTTTTTTGTCGCGACCGTTTCTCTCGCGCGTCTTCGCAAAAAATCTTGCATTCAATTTATTTGCCGCGATTGGAAAAATACTCTCCCGAAATTTGATTGGAATCGCTTGGGCGGTCTTCGAAAAAATGGGTCGCGAAGTTTGGCTGTTTTCCATCTGAACAAAGAGAGAGATAGGGAGAGAGAGAGAGAGAGAGAGAGAGAGGGAGAGAGAAGAGCGCTCGGTGAAAACTTACCAGAAATCTCATTAAACTTTAGCGAATTTTCTAATTAACCGAATCACGAATGATCAGATTCATCGCGACTGCACGATAGCGTTTTAATTGCGCCTAGGATGAGTAGGATTTATTTCCGAAAGGACGCCTTGATAGCGTTGGTTTCGCCGTCACCGTCAACGGTGACAGTATCGTTTAAAATTTCAATTAAACAAAAATCGTTTCCGGCCGAGGGAAGGATGATCGGGTTGAAATAACGACTGTATCGACGCGACCGTTCGATTCGGCTCGGACGAAACGCTTTGATGTTACCGCATGGAGGCAGCGGCGATACATTGTAAATTCAAGGCTGAAAGGAGTCAGATAGGTTTTCGTTGTTTCTTTCTGGTGTCCGGTTACCTATCGATATTACGAAATTATTGGGTCGGGTCGCAGGCCAACGGATCTTGCTTCTGCGGCACACTCGAATTTCAAAAATACCAGTGGAATCTTTATAATATCTCGTGTTCGTTCTAAACGGTCGTAATTTCCTAAAAAAAGAGCATTTTTATTTTGCACAAAGATCCGCGATCTACGTATAAGTTACCGAAATTCAGAAAACATAGTTTTTAAGTTTTCGTCCCAGGTTCGGATAAACAAAGGGTCGAGAAAACATCGTTTTTTAATTCTTTTATCGTTCCAAGCACGTAATAGCAAAATTAGAAAGAGTATTTTAGTCGTTCTGTCATCTGGAAAAAAAATCCATTTCGTTCGATCCACTGTTAAAGAAATTATTGCATTTTGAAAGCTGTCGACATGCTTCCGGCGCGCGACTGTAGCAGAAGAATCGAATAGAGAACTGGACGTGAATAACTTGCAGTCAGAAATTATTATCTGACAATTGGGAGTTGACGTTAACACCGATAACGACGGAATAGGAGAGTAGGGTCTAATGGCGACTGTGAAATAAACATTCCGAAGCCTGTTATATTGAAACGATGACAGCTAGGTTATTCGAACGACTTTCAAGTACCGAGAAGCAGGACTTTTGAAGAGGAAAGAGTACGATCCACGCGGGGAAATTGGTGCAAGGTGACGAATGAAAGCCAGATAAAGAAAGAGGGTATTCACTAATCTTCATCTTTATTGTTACTGTATAAATATGTAGGCACTGAACAAATAATGTTTCATAATTTGTTTACAAACATTTACATTTACATTTACTGATCTCCTTTTTTCTTTTCTTTTTTTTTGTTCAATCATTGAATTATTCTCTGCGAGCAGCTTGACGACGCTGGCCAAGTCCGCTTTTATTCCGTCTGCTCGAATCATTTTTATTTGTTTCTTTATTTGTGTGTTTCCTTCTTTCGTTCGTTATATCGTTACTTATTTCATTTTCATTTTTTTGTTCCATTATTCCCCTTTAATCGTTCTTACGCGTAAATACCGTTATCGTCTCCCAGCATTGTATGCATTCGACCGACAATCTCTAATTACGATCTCGAATATTCCGTCAATATATATATATAATATATGCTTATATATTTATAAATATATATATATATATATATATTTATATATATATATATATGTATATATATGTATGTTCGCTTCATTTTTTCTTGTATGTATACTTTTATTCTCTATCCGCTAATATGTATATTGTTCTTCTAGTCTAAAAGTTACCACGATTATTAAAGATAATATATACTTCTGGGAAATTATAATTAAAATAATTGTAAGTATATAATAATATGTCAAACATATATGTCCTGTGTCCATGTGTAGTATGAGTGTCAAGGGGGAAGGAGGGATGGACAGAATGAAACAGAAAATCATGGGATCTGGTGAGGGAGGGGCCTGGCGTTGAAAGGATCAAGGGCTAAAAGGAAGGGAACAAAAAAGATCGGAGAGAAAGCCGTGGAAGAAAAGACGGAGAGGGAAAGAGATAGATAGAGTGAGAAAGAGAGAAAAAGAGAAAGCGAAGGAAAGAAAGAACTAGATGATAAAACACAAATTCTAAGCTTTGGCTAATGAGAAACAATGGTTCCCCGACGACTTTCGAAAACACCGTTGTGTACCGTACGCGAAAACGAAATTCCTCGAAAAGCTCGAATCGCTCGCAATAATAGAAAATTTTGCGTAATCAGGGACGGCGAAAAATCCGTTTGGAAATTTGACAGTAGAAAATATAAGAGAAAGGGCGAGAAACGCGGTTAGAAATGAAAGGGATTGGTGGGAGGTAGTAGTGATGGTAGTGGTGATGGTAGTGGTGATGGTAGTGGTGATGGTGGTGGTGGTGGTGGTACTGGTATTGGTGGCGGTGGTAGTGGTGGTGGTGGTGGTGGTGGGGTGGTTCGAATTGTTTCATCTTTTTTTGTTTTTCGCGTTTTTATCGTCTAACCGCTTCAGCCTTTTCTTCGTGTCTCAGGTATAAAACTAAACGGGCGATAAAGCCTTCGTGTAAAACTATACTCCATATACTTTGTTCTCTCTCTATTGTGCTCAAGTGTAACAACCTCGTTTTTTTTTGCTATACATGCGCGTATTTTTTTGTTTTTTGTTCATTTATTACAATGTCTTTTTCGTCATCTCTCGACACGTATCCCACTCGTCCTCATCTTCCTCAATCGGCATCATCATCATCATCATCTCCCTCGCCGTTATAATCGAATGGATCGTCTCCTCGATCTTCATACCGGCGTAATCTTCTTCGTAATTCTTTGTATAATACGTATACACGCACACACAGAGGGTCGTTTCTCCCGTGTACAGACTGGAAAAATTGACAGAGGACTCGATTGCGTTTTGTTATACATGAGACACTGACGACGGCGCTGCTCAGCTGCGCGGCTGCTACCCTCCAACAACAACAATCAACAACAAATGAAACCATCGGTCTTCCATTATTTCGTTTGCTGTTTCCGTTTCTATTCTCCGCGTTTTTCAAAATCATCGTTCACGAATAGTTTCCCGGTCAATTCGACCCACGGATTTATTTTATATATGTTCCTATTGTTTTTTTCTTTTTTTTAAACTATGTCGGCTCTCTTTTCCTTTCGATTCTGTCTTTTATTATCGTTTCGGTTTTATCGTGGTTTATCTTTTTTTCCTTTTCGCCCACACGTGTCGCAACGTGTCCGAATCGAGGACGCGGTTCTCGTTTCTCGTCGCGTTCCTCCCCGGTTTCCATTGTTTCCATCGATCTCGCATTCTTTCTCTATTTCTTGCCTATTTAATTTTAATTATGATCTTCGTATATGTCGATGTCGCGGTGGTCCGTTTTTGGAATAGCTTTATATAGTTTAGTTATAAATATAATCATACGTGTTGTATATGCGTCCCTACGCGCGCGCGCGCGCGCGCACGCGAGCATTCGTCCGTGCACACGCGCGTACACACGTATACAATAATAATAGGTCAATGCGATTTTTATTCTTGCTTTGTTTTCGTTCGTAACGAGCGCGTGTAACGCAACCTGTGTTTCTCATATTCGTGTTCGCGCGCGCATGTGTGTACGTGTACATGTATATGCGTATATAGATGTATATATATATATATGTGTGTGTGTATGTGTGTATGTCGCGACGTGTAACGCGTGACCTCACCCTGTCTCTCGCTGTGTCTTTTCCTCGTGTACGCAGTGTTCGCGTGTCAAGTGTGTGCGTGTGTGTATGTGTCCGTGTGTCTGTATAGCGTGTGTACGTGAAACAGTGTATACTAGGAATGTACATAGTGTACGTAGATATAATTAGGTTTGTGTATAAAACGATGATACATACTAATAATTCATTATTTTCGTTTATATCAAACGACACATAATTATGATATCGATTCTTTTTTTATCATTTAGTCTCATGGTACGATGCGCAACGGCGGTCCGGGGGCATCGTTCGCCGATAGGCTACAATAATAGTCTTGTCCTGTCTTCTCGTACAATGTCGATGTACTTCCGGTCGATCCCGCCTCGGCCGCGGGATCGCGCGGCGCTGAGATTACGATTATTACAAGAACCTCCCAAATGAATGGCCATCAGTCTTTGAGTTTTGTACCGGTGTGCGCGTGCACACACGCACACGCACACGCACACACACACACGACCTCGTCATCGTTTCTTTTTTTTAACACGTTACACGTTTTATCATTTCTTTATTTCTTTTCGCTTTTTTTTTCATCGCTGTTTTCACGGTTTTCTCGTTTTTTGGTTGTTTTCTTCGTTTACTTTTTTTTCTCTGTTCTTTATCATTTTTTTGTATTCCCTCGTCATCTCTCGTTCGAAACAGGGGAGCAAAGGAAGCGTCGCTCTCGGTCGAGTCGTCCGAAGGATGAAAACCGTCGACTGTCTCGGTGCTCTGACAATAGGCGGCGATGAGATTTTTTCTTGTCGATCTCACGCGGTTTTTTTTTTTACATAGTACGGACGCACCAGCACCGAGAGAGTCGACGCGCGCGGTTTTCGTTCGTTCGAGGAGCGAAGGGACGATCGTCGCGTCTTCTCCCCGGATTAAAATGAACGCTAACATCGTTAAAAAGGGGAAAGGAAAAAGACTGTAACCGGTCGTTCACTTGGTGTCCGTATGGACGGCAAGAAGATAGGAAATTTTTCCAAGGATCAATGGGGGGCCGATCGATCGCGGAACGGAAAGGATCGAAATGAAACGAAACGAAACGAAACGACACAGGATCGTCGAAAGCAAAACGGAATCAAATCGAAAGGTCGAATTCTTACGTCGAATGCTCTATGCATTCTGTTCTCTCGCGCGTCTCGGCTGGCTGGCAGCCACGTTTTTTCCTTTCGTTTCGTTTTCTCCTTTGATTTTTCGATTTTTTTTTTCCGGCAGGGGCGCGTTTTCGCGGAGTTGATCTACGGGTTTGTTTGTTCGGTGGCTCGACGTTGATCCTCAAAAACATGACCATCCATTCTGGACAATCCGCGTTGATTATTAATATTAAATATTAATACTTCTAGTCGTATACTCTTGCTAGAGTAAAAGTGGTCTTGTGGCGTCCCGATTAATTCGAGCATTCGTTTCACCGGGACGTTTTGCATAGGCAATACAGAGTGCTTTCAGCGCATGTATTTCTTGCGTTCTTGATATGCGATATAGTACTATAACCTAACAAAAACTTGTCCTTACATTTCTCATTTGGTATGTCTTAGTCTTATTTTACATAAAAAAGGAGTGAAAATAATAATTAATCCATAATATTAATAATAATATAATAATAATTAATAATCATTAATAATAATAATAATAATGATAATAATAATAGTAATAATAATAATAATAATATTAATAATAATAATAATAATAATAAAAATAATGATGATGCGAATGAACGAGAGAGAGAAAGAAACTACTGGTCACTTATAAATGTACAAGCGTTCGCGATACGAGAGACGCAATGAAACACGGACGACGGTTTTTTTTTAAGTTAAATGAGCGATAATTAGAATGAACAGATCTACCCCTCGACGGTGTTCCAACAGTTATTCGCGAATTAAAATTACCGAATCGGTGCAGGAGGAAAAAAATGGTCCTGTCGTGTAAAAAAAGTGACACTTACAATACGCGGTAAAACGATCGTGTCCCGAGCACTCGTAAAGTAATCAAAAAGCCCTCGATTTGTTCTACGTGTACACACATGTATGTTATATATACATATATACTTCAGTCGAGCTACGAAAATAATGATGCGATCGCTAAAAAAAACTAAAGAAAGAAAAACGAAAAAGAGAGAGAAACAGAGACAGAGACAGAGAGCGAGAGCGAGAGGGTGAGACACAGAGAGACAGAGAGACAGAGAGAGAGAGAGAGAGAGAGAGAGAGAGAGAGAGAGAGAGAGAGAGAGAGAAAGTGTGTGTATGTGTGTGTGAGAGAGAGAGAGGTAGAAGAAGGTAGTAGAAAGAAAAGCGAAAGAAACAGAAAATGGTTTAATGTATAAAATAAATCGAGAAGAGAGAAAAAATCAAATGGAAAAATTGTAAAACAGTTTTTCTCGCGTATTCGGAAAATACTATTCTGTTTCTCGTCGCGCTAACTCCCTCCTGGTTCGCGGAGCGATCTATCATTTAAACATCTTTATCAATTAGTAGTCAGTCGATTTTTAGAATTTTTCTCTAGAGAAAAGGGATGTATATCTATATATATATTTTCGTTATGTATAATATATATATAAATATATGCATAATGTTCTCGCGTTCTCCATGCACTCCACCCGTTCCTAATAATAAACCTACGCTTTTTTTTCTGTAACTATATAATTAGTATACACCATCGCAAGTATACCGCTTGCCAGCGATTTCGCATTTTTCTTCGTCGATTTCCTTCCTCTCCTCTCTCTTTTCGTTTCGGTCTCTCCTCGTCGCACGTCCACGTAATTATCCAACGAACACACTCTCTGCCCCGCCTCTCCCCGTGTCCCATCGTGTCCCCGTTCACCCGGACTCTCCTCCCTTCCCCCGCACCACGCGTTCCCATCGTTCGCTCTCACAGATAATTACACACGGGTCCTCTCCTCGGGATTACTTTACAAGTACAATCCCTCTCCTCTCCTCTCATCCACCTCCTCCTCCTCCTCCTTCTTCTCCTCCTCCTCCTCTCGTCGCGGCGAGTCGTCTCTCCACCCGAAAGAACGCAACTTAAAGTCTTTGTTATCGTCGAAAAATATCATATATCGAGAATACCTCTCTACTATGCTATTAGTTCTTACAATAGCGTGTGTGTTAGCCGTTTCCACGTTTCACTCCACCACGTGTTTTCTCTCTCTCGGCTCTCCCTCTCTCTCTCTTCGGTCTCGGTCCACCCACCCTCTCGCTCTCAGGAATAATATACTCGTCTTGCCCCGCGAGCACAGTTCTCTCTCTCTCGCCTTGCTCCATGCTTCGTCGCACCATCCGCTTCGAGGACGACGAAACGCTCGGCGATCGCGCGAAAAGCAGAGGTCCCGTCGCCGATCGATCGGACCGTTTAAGGCCCGCGATCCTCTCGCGAACGGGTTTCGTCGTCCGTCGACGATCTCTTCCGCACGCGAACGACCCCAGAAGCGCGCATTCTACCGTCCCCGCGCGTTTCTTCTTCGCCGCTTCTTCTCACCGCTCTTCCCATCGTTCGCGAAACAGCCGCGACACCGCACACGCTCCGCGCGACAACAAAACGACGTGTGTGTGTGTTACAAGATTAATTTTAGGTATCGCTGTTGCACCGATATTTACAATGGACGTTTGATACGCGCGTGCACACCTCCTCTCTCCACCGGGGACGCAACGGTCACCCACGACACATCGATCCGGCAATCGTCGCTTAAATAAAAGCCGCTTAAAAACTCTCTACAATATATATAATGTACACATATAAAAAAGAACAGAGGAGGAAGAAGAAGAAACAGAGATGCAGAGAGAGAGAGAGAGAGAGAGAGAGAGAGAGAGAGAGAGAGAGAGAGNGAGAGAGAGAGAGAGAGAGAGAGAGAGAGAGAGAGAGAGAGAGAGAGAGAGAAAGAGATAGTTCACAGAAACTGAAATAGAGTCGAAAGGAAAGCCGCCTTTTGTTCTTTTTTTTCCAAAAGAAGAATAAGAAGTAGAATAGCAAGAAAAAGCCGCGCGCGGTTTCGTTCCGCTTCGAGTTCGCTCGTTCCGAGGTGCCGTTTTTTGTCGAAACTGTACTCTCCTACACTGGGGTTGTCGATGAAGGGGTTCGGGTGTTCAGGTTTGTGTGTGTGTGTGTGTGTGTGTGTGTGTGTGTGTGTGTG